TAAGAGGAACTGAAAGATGCCTTGTGCAAAGGAGCTTAAGTGTTAAGCTCAATAGGTCATAATTTGTACTTCTGAAGCTGTTTCGTTATTCTATGCTTCATATCGTCGCTATTTCATTCCCACGTTTTGAATGAACGTTTCTGCTTTGATTCATTTAGGCCCCACCGTTTACAAGTACTACATCTTCCTTAGGTATTGCTAGAGTAAGCATTGAGTAAATATTTTTCCCTCCTCCGCAGAGAATTACCGAAACGTTGACAAAAAATGAAGAACTCTGCTTATCATTTATCATTGATTTTTTCTATAATAATAAATGAGTATCATTCAGAGATAATCAACAGATGAGTTAAAGAAAATTATGACTGCTGACTCAGAAATATCCATCAGATTTTTCGTAAAAGAAAATCTCTTATTATTTCATTAGTACTTTTATAATATTAGAATGACTTTTGAAGAACAAATGTTGAACTGAACTCTGGAATGCTTCAAATATAAATGCCTCAGGGCTTCGAACGGTGAAAATGTGCTTAATAGTTGACCATATTATTTATACTGTATAAATAAAACAATATAATATGGTTGTAAATTTTTTCCCATACTCCCGTATAAATTACGCAGAAGAGACCGAGCGTAATCAAGCGTACATTCATCGACCTCCATAGCTAATAATTGTCGAATAACCGTCACCGATTATGGATGACTACCTCACTCTTAAGTGACGCATTATGGAAATAGCAAACATTACTCGATAGATATAGTAGATATATTGGCTCGGGCTTAGCAGTCACAAAGTTCATTTCAGAATTGGATGATATACCTCAAACATTGATAAATAAACCTCTAATAAAAATAGGAGAACATGAACTAGCGTATCAATGATGATGCAAAGTAGAATGTGTCTATGAGAATTAACTTTTCTGAGGGGAAGTGAAGAGGGGGTGAGGTGCAGCTGGTTGGGGAATCCAATGTTCGAAATGAGAGAGAAATATTGAGAGGATTCTTGATAGAAGAAGGAGTCTCAATTGAAAAAAAAGTGAGGAAAATAAACGAAAAGTAGTAGAGGTATGTTGAAAAGCTTTTATAGCTTTATCGGGCCAGAGTGGTATGATAATGATTAGACTGATATGTGATATGAACAATGTTGAAATGGGAAGTAGCAATATTTGCTTCAGTGGATTTGTTTACTCTCATGCAATTATCTGGATGAGCTGATTCTTTTTTTTTCCTTCTTTTGATCGATTGATCGATTTATGCAAATCTGGCAATTTCTGTCGAGCAGTTATGAAAACAAGTGAGGAGAGTGTCTCTATACCAATTATTGCCTTGATTTACTTAATTAGAAATCTATAATTGGACCAAATGTACTAATTTATCGATATGTGGCGCCGTTGAGACTGACGTCCATGGAAGCATCTCATTTGTGATGAGATATTTGTGAGTGAAAGAGGAGTTAGTGCTGAGTTCAAGAGAAATTCATTAACATCTTATGAATACGAATAAAGCTTTGAGCATCCCCATATGAACACTAGAACTTTCTCATATGATCCTACTAGTGAACTGCTTTATTGAATCTTATTATCAATTATTTTTAATATTTGTAAAGTAAAATTTACGAAATAAAAATAAGAAGTGTTAGATGGAATTTTGGTTTCGTTATGTTTTTTGTTTTTCGAAACACCAATGGCTCAAAATTTCTTGTTTAAAACGTAGTTGAATTGAAGGTCAGCTTAAATGTTGTAAGCAACATTGCATATCTATAGTAAATCAATTTGATCTTTTTGCGTCATAATAAATGCTGCAAAACATTTAAGCCGTAATTAAAAACTCAGCGTCAACCTGTAGCAGTCTGTGAGTGCAACTATTTCGTCACTCATCAATCAAAAATGCAGATCAAAGTTTAAGTAGCTTGAGGTTGATTCATTCAAAAAATCTCGTCTGACACTTCTTTGATTCTTTAAATGCTTTGCAAAATTAGAAAATAATCGATATCATGTTGCATTTTAATATTTGCATTTTTTTTCACTGTTTTCAAGAAGCTCCGTTTTTGACGAGTGTTCACAAAATATTATTGAGGATAAAGCTGCTGCCATTTACTGCAAAGTTTATTTAGCAAACGCTTCTGAATCAAATAAGAAAATAGATAATTGAAAATTCATTTAATACAAATAATTCATTGTCTTTCCTTATTGGTTTCCTCATCGATTTTACTACAACGATTAATGTAGCAGGAGCTGCGCAATGATACCCTGGTTCGAATCCGCACCTAAGCAAGTCAAAACTATCGTCCTCTGTTCGGTCAACTAGTACCATAATAATCTTCAAATCATTCATAAATTAGGTAAATCAGTGAAAATCAGATTGTGGTTCGTTTGCATACAGAACACCAACCAAATGAGCAACGATTAACGGATGTTGACGAGGACATCGCCTCGTACCTCATCCTTTCATTCACGAAAACATTTCCGATTTGTGAATTCAAATGAAATACTCCAAGTTAAACTAATAATATCCGAATACTGAATTCATTTCTGGTGAACTTTCCAGCGAACGTTGTATGATTTGTTTTCGCTTTATGAAAAGCTGTTGAACTTCAACAAATAACTGCTACGATGAGTTTCATCAGAAGAATATTAAAACGAGAATACTTTAATGTACTTTTTATTCTATAATGATATTATGATGTTTTTAATTATATTGAGTTGAAACAATCTGTTAACAGCCAAAAATAGATGCTTGAAGGAAAAGCTTTGAGCTTGATAATAATATTTGCTATGACTCCTCTGGTAATCATTATTATTTTTTAAATATGATTGCTATATTATCACTTATTTATTATTATTACTATTGATTCGAACTCGCAACTATTAATGTAGCTGGAGCTGTGCAATGATACATT